TAGGACTTCATCCATTCTGGGACAGAAATGAAATTCACTTGTACCAAAGACCCTACTTCACAAGTAAGCATTAAATAATTTATCTGCTTCACTAATTTTTGCCAAGCATTAAACAGTTCTTGAAGAATAAAGAATAGAAGAGTGAAATGCAGAACAAACAAGTTGAGGAGACAGATTCAAGAGTAACTCTCACTCCCAACCTTCCAAATGTCTCCTTTGCACTGGAAATGATTGCAGCTGGAAACCACCTCAAAACAAATTCTCTGGGTGCTACTGAAACAACGCTATAATACGAGAGACTATATGAGACCTTCCCAATAAGACCAGAACTCATCTAAATCAACATTCTTATTGGAAAATACTTGGGTTTTACTCCAACTGCTAATTTAGATTGAACTGGTGGCCACAAAGCTACACTTCTTATGCCACTTGTTGCACAGAAGTATCTTCATCCAGTCTGTGTAAGCAACACATGCATCATTAAAGAACAAAACCCATCTAACCCACCTCAGTAAAGAAAATCATGTCCTAATAGTCAGGGCCTTTGAACAATAGATTTCACACAAATTGCTTTATTTCTTTAATTTCTAAGACAATAACAAACATAAATTCAGCAAACTAGAAAAATTTAACTCCACTAGAATGTTTTTAACATTTCTGATATTTAAAAGGTTATGCTACAAACTCCATAGAACGTTTTATTTAATAGTGCTTGATTTATCCATTACTTGGATAAGGATTTTATCCCAAAATAGTAACAATTATATTAAACATAGAACATCCTGAGTTGAATGGGACCCATGGGATCATCAAAGTCCAACTCCCGAGCCTGCACAGGACAACCCCAAGATTTACATCATGTACCTGAGAGAATACTTATGTATATAATGTATGCATATTGCATACTTTCCAAAAAGAAGTGCACCTGTCTTTTCTGAGTATTCATTTGGCAAGGAAACACTCTGGCTTGATCAAATTTAGCAAACGGTTTAGCTCTCATTTCCTTGTAAAAACTTGTTCCTCTGATAATGATTTAAGTATCAGTTGCTTTGAAGTCTCTCCTCAGCAAGGTAAACCACCAACAAAGGCATGTGCAAGCAAGTACATCAGACTGTCCTTCTGAACTATCTACTCAATTCCTTTCAGCCACAGATGGGTTGATATTTACAAGAGCCCTGCTTTCAGAATAGCCCTGAGAAGTCTTCCATCAATTTTAATCCTGTAGTGATTTCAAAAAAAAAGGAACTGGCAAAAGAAACTCCACAACAGTAGTGTCAGCATTTAATATACATTGTGTTAACAACCTAGGTTCTCTACTAGTGCATTCAACACTGTTACTGTTTTCACTATTCTCTCTCTCAATATATAATAAAATCTGAGCTTTCAGAAAACAGAATCTTCCGATAAAGATGTAGGTATTTTTACAACTGTAATCAGCCAAGGTACATGAAAAATTAATATGGAACAGAAAACTGGAACATAATTCATGGAAGTGAAAATGGCACTATTTTTCAAGTAGCAGCTGACTCAGCATTTTGCAAAAACAAAGATCCCATACAAGCACCTAGACTTAGCCCTGAAGAAAATGAGGCCTTAGAATTATGTCTTTTCTATACTCATTGACTTTAGGATACAGCAAATTAGTCAAATCCATCCTTTTGAAAAGTAAATAATTCACACTGCAAGTAAACAGATAATAGAGACAGCTTCTGACAATGCCCAAAATTAAATGCCAAAATATGTATTTTATTCCATTCATCAAACTGTTCAAATAATTCTTCACTTATGTGAAGAGCAAAAGAAGTGGAATACTCATCTCCTATCAATTTTCTGCAGGCAGGATGCAATGCAATTCTTTTCTAAATTCTGCTTTCAGTTTCTCTGTCAAAAAACCCTCATGTCTTTAAAATGTCAAAGTTTATCTGAAGGACAAAGAATCATCATATCTTCTTCTGTCTCTGCTCCGCATTTTCAACTGAAGACCTTTTCAACTGAAAGATTCATTTCAAGTTTCTAACTAAGTTTTCCCAGCACTTCCTGATTACTGAAAACAAAGGCTTTAGCAATTTAATCCATAAAGAAAATAATGAAGGAACTGAACACTTAATAACAACATTCATCAGTAAAAACTACATCATAGGTGATGTACTTATCTGCAACATGGCCTCTACAGATGTGTTTAGTGACAACATATTTATACATTATTTATTTTTATTTTTTTTACTTAGAAGAAAAACCTTAATTCAGTGACTCACAGAGACCACAATTGCTTTAGAAGAAATTGTCTGAATCATTAATATTTCTGAGCCCATACTATTAGGCAATATGCTGTTGCATAACAAAGCTCCTTAAAGGATCCTCTTAAGAAAAATAGTCTCAGATTTCAGAACAAACATGATCATGCTCATGAACATACTAGGAAGTGTTCACATACTAGGGGTGACTTTTAAAAACTTACAACGAACACCCTAAACCGGAAGGTATGATAGTGGAAAAAAGATATACAAATAGGGAGAACAAAAAAATAAAGATATTTATAAAGTTACCCACTTTACACTGCTTATTATGACTGACATCCCTAGAAGTCAAACTCACCCCATTTTGTATTATAAGTAATGTGTCAGCAATATAGAACAACACTATCTGTTGTGCTGTTCTGACAAAGGTGATGACTATTTCCACTTAAAACAATAATTTGTAAACTTCTAGCCATCTCAAGACACTAAAAAGGGTACAGACTGGGGATGGGGTGACTTCCAATGAAAGAATACACACAGCAATGAAACACAAAATAAAGGTTCAGTAGAAAAGGCACAGAAGGGGGTAGAGGGGAGTGAGTGCACCAGCACATCAGTTTGATCTTCTCCATTTCCCGTGCTTTAGTTTGCATCCCAGATTGGTCTTGGGGGAGGTAAACCAAATTCCTTTCAAACTATACTTAACTGGAAGACTGTGCTTCCAGAGCACACCTGCCACATGACAATTGTTAACTTATGTGCCCTCCATGGGATCAGAGTACTGTAGTCCAAAAATAAACCTCTCGAAGCATTTATAAGAACTTCCAGTCCTCAGCATTAAATCTTTCCTTTACATATCTACGCCCACTGCACCACATGCTTGCTAATATACATATGGCCTGATCTCATTAAGAGTAACAAACAGCACGTTATATTTTAAAAAGACAGTTGGAACATTTAGAAAAAAGAGGTGATTTACACAAGGTATTCACAATCGCAATACAGCTTTTGGAAGAACATAAACTGGTGACACTGTGGGAAAAAATAAGATGTATTTGGAGTATGTGGCAGATGTAAAAAAAATCTGCTAGCTAGCACAGACAGTGCATTATATGAAAAGCTGAAAAGGCAAACCTTTTAGCATCCAGTATTTTTTCATTTAAAGTTTGGTTATAAAATGCTAACCAGACTTAATAATCAAAACAAATATTCTCTCTATAAAGGATGAATATGTTTGTTGAACAACCTGAAAAAATATCTTCCTAGGCATTTTTATTTTTTAATACCTGATTGAGTCAATCAGTGCCCTGGAGGGGGAGGAAAAGAAAAAAAAAAGGCAAACTTCTTCTGTAACTAAGTGAAAAGTCACAGATTGAAAGCATAACAGGGAATGGCTATGTACACATCACTGTCACTACTAAAAGGACTTGCTCAGACATGTCTCTTCTCCTCCTGCTCTGGATCAGGGTAAAGAAACTCATTCAGAGTTTAACGGGTTAACACAATTGGCTTTACAGGTGATACCATTTAATTTCAAAAATGTATGCAGAAAAAAACTATAAAGTATTCTCATACATACCAACATGTACAAAACCTGGCCACTCTGCTTGCTTGACAAATACAGTACATTGCAACTGACACTAAGAACTAAAAGTCAGGCTTGGTTTCTTTCCAAACAGATGGTTAATCAAAGAACATAGGTTTGTGATAGTGATTTATGTTTTAGAAAATTGTCTAAAGTAGCACCCATAGTAGACTCCTGTAACAGTTTTTTTCTGTGCATTGCAGTGATTAGACAAACATTAAGATGTCTGTGGCTGTCCGTTATTTCTAATTGTTTAGGACAATGATGCTTCTTCATGAATCACTCAGTGCTGCATTTATTGTAAATATCTTTATACCTGAGACTTAACACAGGCATGAATATTATTTAACTTTTAGCCTCTACATATTGAGAATGCATATAAATGCACATAAATGTATAAAAATTCTCTTTCAAAAAAATATTAAATCCTCACAGAAATGTCAAACCACCGAACATGGGAAAATTTCACAAGGACTAGTCATAAGGATGAAGAGAGAGGAAAGAATACTACAGCATTGTTCTTGCGATACAACCAGAAGTATAAATTCCAAAACTGAAATTTCCTCAACCAGCATATTTAATGCACTTCCCCCCCCCCCGCCCAAGAAATCACGAGAAAGGAGATGAGTTAGTACGAACCGTAAGTCCTTCCCAAACCACTACACCTGCCCAAAAATCTTGAAGTGACAGGTTCAACGGTGGGGTTGGGCCTTTCCCCCTCTCTGCAAATATTCCTCTATCCATAAACATGGACGAATATAGGTGTGTCAGACTTAAGTCTGAAGAAAGAAATCAGCGTTTTATTCCCTCAACTGCGAAAGCAGTTTGATAAATGGATGCCAGGACACCCGCAGTACCTCGCAGCTGGTGCCGAACGCCGACCCACCAGAGTACCAGCTCTGCCCGTCCCACGCCGTGGGACATCACCGGCGAAGCGGAACCGGGACGGACCCGCCCTCCCGTCACATTTCACCGGAGCCGGCAGCACTTCCCGCCCCTTCCCACCGCCTCCACCTTCTTTGATTAGGGAAAAGTTTGAAGTTCACACCCCCTCACCTCCCCGAATCCCGCCAGTTCGAGGAGAGGAAGGCGAGGCTGCATCTCCTCACCCTAAAAAGCAAGCAGAGCCAGAGAGACGCTTCGCCTCGCTAAAGATAACGCAAAGGATAAAGCAAGAGACAAAGCAAACATCCCCCGAGCAGCACCGCCGCCCTCGGGAGCGGAGTTCCCCTCACCAGGGGCGCTGACGCGAGACCTGCCGACACCGCCACGGGAACGACGAAATCAAGATGGCGGCAGTCCGCCGGCAGGGCTGAGACTACACCTCCCAGCATGCCCTGTGGCACTATCGAGGGGAAGCAGCGCCTCGCTTACGGCTCCGCGGTGCTGGACTACACCTCCCGTGGGGCGCCGCGCGGCTGGCGGGGCGGGGCTGGTGAGTGGTGGCTCGGAGTGCCCGCCTCCCCTAAAATGGCGGCGGCGGCGGCGCGCTGAGCGGGCGCGCGCTCGCCCCTCCTCCCCTCAGCGTCCCGGTGTTGTGGCTCTGGCCGCGGGCGGGGTCTGCGGGGCCTCGCTGAGGGGAGTCTGGGGCTGCGAGCCTGGTCGCCGGCCGGTCGCTGGCAGCTCGCTGGCAGGGGTGGGCGGCGCTCGACGGCGGCACCCGCTCAGGTAGAGCCCGGCGCTCCCGTCCCTTCGGCAGGAGGAGGAGGAGGAGGCTGCTGTGGGCGGGGGCCGCTCCGGCTCTTTCCCAGCTCGGCGGTGGCTGCGGCTCCGGGCTCCATGTCGGACAACCAGAGCTGGAATTCCTCCGGCTCCGAGGAGGACCCTGAGACCGAGCTCGGGTTGCCCATTGAGCTCTGCGGGGTGCTCAGCAAGGTAAGCCGCCTCTACCCCCTTCCCGCAGCCCGGCGCTCCCCCATCCCCGCTCCCCTCCTCGCTGTCAGCCCCAGGGAGTGAGGCCGAGGGGCCGTGCGGGGGGGGGGGGCTGTGCGGCTCCGCGGGCGGCGCTGGCACGGCCGAGGCAGCCGCCACCTGACGGCGTAGCCGCTGCCAGGCAGAGCTGTGCCGGCGCCCGCGCCCCCTCCCTCGGCCCCGCCGCCCCCCGCGCCCGGAGCAGCCCATCCTTCCCCGGGGACAGCTGCGGTCCCGGCCGGCCCCCAGCTCGCCGCCCGTCCGCTGCGGGGCCCCGCGGAGCCGGGCCGAGAGGGCGTCTCCCCGCGCCTCGGGCTCCCGGCCTGGGTGTCGGGGCACCCCGGGAGCTCCCGCAGGCACCGTGGTGGCCCGGGAGCGGGCATGGCTTTCAGTGGCAGGGCAATAAAGAAATACTCCTGCAGCAAGAGATAACGGGAGGAACGGAAAAGGAAAATGGCCCTACAGCTTGTTTCCCCTTTTAAAAATAGCCGGTTTTTTTTTCCTCTTTTATCGCTGAAAATAAGGTGATATCCAAGTATGTGTCGGGTTGTACCGGGAAATCTTATTTTTAGAAGTACTTTGAAGTTGAATATTAAATTACTAAGTTTGACCACTTCTTTTTTTTTTTTAAATTACGGAAAGTATATTCAGAATAATGTTTAGAATTAAAGCACTACGTCTTGCATTTTTTTCCCTGCCCTTCATGATAAGGCTGGGCACAAGCCAACGTAGGAGATATAAGTTACAGGATACGGAGATCTTAAACTGGCCCTGGATGCAGAGAAAGCAGGTCACACTCTGCTTGTTGTGAGGGACTCTGAACTACTTCCATCCTGAGAATGGATATGGATGGATATGCTTCCATCCTTCCAGAGATAAGAAGAATGGTTAGGAGAAAAGAAGGATCTCTGCTTGCATTTGTAAGATCTTCTTATTTAACAGTGGATGGCAGAGGGAGGATGAGATGGCTGTTACAGCAGTTACAATGTGAGATTTTTTGATTGGTGTAGTTTTGCTATTTTGTTTGGGGTTTTTTTCATTGCAAAGGTTTTCTTTGGTAAGACGCTTCCATCATTAGAAGGGATGTAATCTGTGAGATTTAATTCATTTTTGTGTTAGCAAATTAAAAATTAAGTCCAGGTACTGTTTCTGGCATAGAAGGTGAAGCCATGGCTTCAGACATTCTGTAGCTTAGGTATGTGCAAACTTTTTGCTTTTGTAGATGAACATGCTGAGTGTAGCAAACACTGACTTTCCTGTGAGGAATTTAATCTGAATAGTCAAGTGTGGCGAAACCTGTTGCAATGAGTATGTTTGAGGGATGAGGTTACCTTTTGTTAGTTGATACCTCAGTAATAATTGAGACAAACTAATTGAAATGAAATGGTAGCATGCTGAACTTTCTACTAAGGAAATATCTATTTTTATTAACTTACTTAAGTTCTAAAATCAAAGAAATAAGCTGCAGTTTGCTATGTACTTAGTGTTTCAGTAGTTCTGCCTTTCGCTAAAGAGAAAAGCTTTGAAGGAAATGGAGTAATTTGGTAAGAGAAACTTGTTAGAAGTACGTCCTGCTGGTGTTTTGAAATGTTTTGAAACTCTAGGCTTTTTTTCCATTTTGTTTCCTGCTAACGATTTTAAGGTGGATATGAAGAAAGAACTTCAGCGTGGAAGAGTACTTCTTGAACATCTAGTTTTTCTAGATGCTTGGAAAAACAGTGGTCACTTCTCAGCCAAAACCTCGTGTTTACCCAAGTATGCTTTAAGGAGTCTCTTAATTCATGGCACACTTGAATTGCAACAGCAAGCTTCGATTGCAACAGCAGATGCAAGATTGACTGCTATATTTGTCTCTCTTAACTTTTTCGAAAAAGAAAAGGTGCATTCCCTTGCTTTTTTGCCGAAGACAACTTTGGGCTCTGTCTTTCACCTCTTAGGAGGAGTTGGAAACATAAGAGATAGGAAAAGAGGAAGGCAGGAAATAATATACCTCCATAGCTTGTACTACCAGTTCATGTACTGACACAGCTGAAGCTTTCTTTAAGTAATGCTGAACTTAGCAATTAGTTGTATTAAGAGATGAAAAATGGCTTTATATTTGGAGAGCAAATCGAGGTCTTGCCCACATTTGAAAATCGTTAGGAATTTCTCAGAGGTAATTTTTTTCTTTAGACCTCATCGTCTGATAATTAGAGTTAACATGTAGTTATAGAATATGTGTTAACTAATAAGTGTAGTATAATGTGGAAATAAGGCGGTTGGTTGATTTTTATCCCCTCCTCATTTTTATATTACAAAATGATGAATAATGGTTGGATTTAAATGCTAATAAGAGCTTACTTTTCTGAGCTTTTTGTCAAAGAACACTCGTCATAATCAAAGTAATGCTTGCATCATAAGATTGTTTTCAATGCTTTGGTTCTGTTTTTATCAAATTTGTAATATTTTTACTGTGATTGAAGACTAAGCCCAGTGTATTGTCAGAATTATAGGATAGTCCTGATTTTCTATCAATATGATATGATTCTACGAAATGCAGTTGGGAAGATGTTGCAAAGATAAGATTAATAATCAGAACTTTTAGTCACTTCTTACTACATCTCTCTAGAATTAATCCAGAATTTGTTCCTGAAAAATTGGTTTTATTCCATGTGTGAATGTGAAGTCCCTAGAAAAATCTGAACAGCAAAAGCATGATTGAATGTCTGCTGATAAGCAAGTATCTTCTTTGTGAAAGTGGTTAGAATTAAAACCTAAAGCAGTATTAAATTGATAAAAACCTGATTCCTCTAGGCACAATAGTTATTTACTGTATCATGAGATAATGGCATGATTTTATTTCTATGAAGAGAACTTTATATGACATTTTATATAAAATTTATTTCATGTTCCCTTTAAGTCTTTTGACCTAACTCCCAATTTTATATCAGGTACCTAAATTCTCTTTAGTAGTTAATTTTGATTTTCTCCCTCCCCCAGTTTCCTCAATTTGTACTATTATCTTTATTGTAACTGGCCTTGGCAATGCAGTTGCAGTCAAGACATCTGTCTCTATATTGGCTCTTTGGGACAACTGAGTTTTTGTACCTTTAGGAGTTTGTAAAATTATTCTAGGAGCTCTGAGTAGAAAAAAGTCCTCAGTTGGGAAGAACTTGTAAAAATAAGTTGCTTTTTTCTGAACATGCTCAAAAACCTGAAAAATATCCATTTTACTTCCTTTTATTGTTATGTTTCTATTAGCTGATCTTTGGACATTTTTTTTACAGTGGACCAACTACATTCATGGGTGGCAGGATCGATGGGTAGTTCTGAAAAGCAACACACTCAGTTATTACAAGTCTGAAGATGAAACTGAGTATGGCTGCAGAGGCTCTATCTGTCTGAGCAAGGCTGTGATTACAGTGAGTACTATTTCATTATTGCCATTATTTCATGTTTTGAGGCGTTATATGTTTGTATTTGGTGAAAGGAAATATGGGTATGGCTAATTCTCTTAGGTCATCTACTTATGACAGTGAGTGGAACACTGTGAAGCAGGGCAAGGAGTTGCTAATAAGAAAACAAGCGGTTCTCATTTGTGGCTTCAGTGAGCAGCATTTTGTTTCTTACATTAGAGGTTTTTGTGGATAGAGATACTGTTTGCCTCTGAAGGCTGCAACATTTTTTCCCAGACCCCAGACCAACTTCCCAGAGGAGGTGCCATCTTTCACAGTCTTTGCACTAGAGAGAGAAGGTTTGACTGTACTTTCTGAATATGACTCTGTAGAATGTTTCCAAAGGGAAAATTTCTTCTAAAACGTGCTTGCTCTGAACAAGTTTGTGTGTTGCTGTAAAAGAAGGTTCAGAATACACTGATAAGAATAAAGAGCCTACATATAAATGAGCACAAGTCATATGAGGATTGGCTGAGGGAGCTGGGATTGTTTAGCCTGAGAAAAGGAGGCTCAGGGGGTACCTTATTGCCCTCTACAATTACCTGAAAGGAGGTTTTAGTCAAGTCTAGTTTGCCAGATAACAAGTTACAGGACGAGAGTAAATGGTCTCAAGTTGTACCATGGGAGGTTTAGATTAGATATCAGGAAAAATGGCTTCAGAGAAAGCGTTATAAAACATTGGAACAGGGTGTCCAGGGAAGTGGTGGAGTCACTGACCCTGGTAGTGTTAAAAAAACCTGTGGATATGATGGAACTTGAGGACATGGTTTAATGGTGAATGTGGTGGTCGTGCTGGGTTGATGGTTGGACTCGATATTAGAGGTCTTTTCCAATCTTTACAATAGTATAAAATCTCATAAAGGTGAATTTGTCTTAGATAAAGAAAAAAAATTTGCTTTTTTGGCTTTCAGAATTATGGATATGCATTATGACTAATGCTTGTCAAAAAGCATACTGTAGCTTTTCTGCAGTACCATTAAATAGTCAGTCCAGTTATGTGATTTAGGTAAAAAGAGCTGGACTTCTGTCTAGCACACAAATTCCTAGAGTAATAGTGTTAAATCTTACTATTTATATTCTTATTCCACCAAATATGTGGGGTTTTTTTCAAACTGAATTAAAGATGACAAATGAGAAGTATTCTCTTTCTTAGTAATAATCAGCTAACAACTAGAATTTTAATAAACACATCTTGGTTTGAAAAAAAAAAACCTGTATTGATAACATCAACCATATGCATTTTGGAAAAAAAGCTTGTGAAGGAAAGGAGAAGTTTACATATATATGTCTGACAGGTATCATAGTCATCTATAAATTGAAACAGATCACCTAATGTATTTTAAAACTGTTTTATAAACTGCTTAAACTTTTTAAACTTGCTCAAGATGTTGCTTAATCAGGAATTTATCATACATAACAACAGTCTCTAGGAGTTCTGACTTAGCCTCTGCTCAGGACTTCCAAAAAGTTTTCAAGTTCGCTAGCAAGAGGCTTAGCATGCCAACCAGGAAGAGACAGGAAGGTACTGGCAAGGATGTTGATGAAAGAACATCTGGAAGCACACTGTAGAGCACATCTCAGCATCCTGAATTCCACTTGTGGTGGTGGAGTGAGAGGTTATAGTGATGCTGCCATTTCTGCTGGAATGTTTTGATACATTGCAGTTTGTAAAGGGAAGTTGGTGAGCATGTATTCTGACTAGTAATTATGTAACACTGGAACGTCTTACAGGTAATTTTTAACTCTTCTGTCTGGCATTTGTTACACCTGGTAACTTGGAATTGAATTGTTGCATTCGGTTTTCAGTTCTTGAACTTCTTGACTACATTGAGAAAGAATTAAAAGTGTCCACAATTTTAAAAGTTAATCTGATATTTTAGTTGTTCCATTTTCGTTCAAGTTCATGCTTTGTGAGTGGTATTTGACAGTCTAATTGCTTGACTGTAGTTTGAGATGGCATCCCTGAAAGCTAGTAAATTCCTCTTAATTATTTCTAATTGCAATTAAAATTATTGTTGTCTAAATTTTAAAGGTCCAGGAATACCATTGGATCATGTCTCTAGGATGTAGAAATATTCTTTCGAAACTGTCCTGTGATTATTCTGTCTCTTAGTTTTTCAGAATTCATACTTCTAAGTCAGAGTTTTAGCATGAATGCTTCTGGCTTGATAGTTTTGTATCAAATTGAATTTTTTTTTTAACCTAAGTTTTCAATTGAAAATTGCTTATACTTAAATGTAAATTTTTAAAATATTCTTCCTGAGGTAGATAGTTAATCTTTATTCTGTGTCCTTGTAATGTCTTTACTAACTGTAAGCTTTCTAGCATGTATTTAAATGCATAGAACACCAAGCTGCTAAAGTCAGTGTTGAGATGACAATATGTGACAACTACCATTGCGGTCAGTGGAACTTACTCTTTACTGCGTGGCTTGTGATTACTTTGGTAGGGAAGGGAAGTCAGGTTTCTTACTGGTTTAATGTAAGTTGAACTGATTTGATGTAGTTGGGATCTTAATCTTTAATATTTTTCATCAATCTTTCACTATACTGTAAGTTCAGTTTCCCTTGATCTTGCTATCCAGAGACAGGTGTAGTAACTACTTTTATCCTAACCTGGTGTATTTCAGGAAGTCTTCCTTCAGTACCATGCAGGACATGAGTGAAATGAGATGTTGTTCGTGGCTGTAATGTTTCTTTGTAGGTGGTTGGAGTTTCATGAAGCTTTCTTTTAGGCACTCAGATTAGGTATGCATGTTTGAATCCAGGGGGAATGTAATGATTTTCTGTGCATAGTTAATTCTACTCCTATTACAGAATGTCCATGTTTTGTTGATGTATAAGCGTAAGTTTGGAAAGCTGCTGTCACTGAGTAGTCTTACTGTACTTCCAGCAATGAAGATCAGTCTAATTCTAAGTCATAATATTAATTGAGACATGAATCTTGTATGCAGAAACCCACAGTTGTTTCTCCTCTTGTTTTATCATTTGTATTGCATTGGTTAGGGATTGATAGATAATTCTACAGGGATATTTTGTAAGACACTCATCTCACCCCTCTATTTGATGAAAGGCAGACTAATTAAATTAGCTTTTTTGGGTGTTTCAAGTGCAGAATTATATTGTCATACCTCCAGAACAGGTATGGTCTTGTGACAGTAGTCTTTAATTGAATGAAAAATATGGGATCTGGTTGGACTACTTGCTATATTAACTCCTGGGGCTCAAAAGGGCTGATTTTTCTGGAATAAAGCACTAAAGGATGAATATTTATTGTATACTCACTGGATTACCTCAAGTAATGAACCGTCAAGAACTGGCCGTGTGAACTAGGTTTGTGGAAGGACAATGAAAGTCATTATATGATGTTGAGTTGCTTTTATCCAGCTAAGAAAAAACATCTCAAAGGTGTTTAGTTGGTTTATAAAAGGGTAGAAGCTGAAACTCAAGTTAAAAGTTCTGCTATGTAGTCAATGGATGAGAGGAAATTATGGGTGTTATAAAAAGTTGATATATGGACAAATTTAAGCTTTGTTGTATTAATCTCAGCCTACTAAGTAACTTTGGTAGGTGGTTGTCAGTGCCAGATGGTCTTTATTAAAGACACTCTTCTTTATCTTAAAGCTTCGTAGTTCTTTCATTCCTAAAGTCAAACTTCCAATGGAGAATAAATTCTGCATGCGTGATTAAGAATGGATCCATGGCAGTCCTGTAGAGGTGGACCTTTGGGACTCAGTTTTGGAGTTGGAAGGTCTAGGGTCTCTTATTAAAAGAACAAAGAAAATACTCTGTAGACCTGGAAGTTCGACTTTCAGGGGGACAGGTCTTTCAGCTTGTATTTTCTTTGCCTTGATTACTGTGTCTGTTCATATAGTGTCATCACCACTGTTGTACAGAGTGACTTGTACATGACTAACTAATGTAGTCACAGCATGATAAGTCAAGAACAGCATTCTGTGACCCCCTCTTGAGGCAGTCTTGCAGCAAGGCCATCACTGATTTAATCATGGTAGTAATTTATATTAATAGCTTCTCAAATCTCTTTATAAATTCTTAACAACGAAGTGTTTATCTGGTGAATTCTAGGGTTTTTCCAGAAAGGATTTGCCTGGTCAGGATAGCTCTTCTGCATGGACCCGTACAGACAATCTTGAAAAATGCTTAGAGAAGTGTCATGCTTGATAAAGTTTAAGAATGCTTAAACTCAGCCATGTGTGAACTTTGTGTTTTTTTGTCACTAGAGGTGACTGCCTACAGAGGAAGAGGTCCAAAACCTCGAGTTTCAACTTAAAACTTCAGCTTTTCTTCAACTTGCCATGTTGTTTTAATCCAGTGGTTAGTCTTCATCTTCATTCCTGTCTATATTACTGATGTAGAAAAACTTTTTGGTTTGATTACTTAAACGAGATGCAATACCTGTGATGCAGTGATTTTTTTCTTGGCTTAGGTTATACTGCAATGATGTATACTGATATCAAAATCTTTATGGAAACATGCTATTGGTTATTAGTTTGGGGTTTTTAGAACACTTTGTTTTTATTGTGTTGTAACAAGATGTTTAGACAGGTCTGTGGAAGCGCCTGAACCAGGACTGAGCAAAAAATTCAGTTTGCATAGTGGAGATACTTTCAAGTAAACTAGTTTGTTGTTGTTTTTTTCAGAAACACTTAATTCAAAGGCACAGTTGCTTTAAGAAGGCAGTAGTGATGCTTTGTATTAATATACAAATTGCAAGCAAGCCATTTACCTTCAGAATGAACTTCTAAAAGGTGAGGGTTTTGAGTATCTGCTGTGAATATCTGGAGCTCAGGACAAGCAAGAAGAAAAGAAAATGGAAGTCTACAGAGAGATGGCTTAGTGAGTTGTCTTAGCTTTTTCCCCCCTAAGTTGTAATAAATTGCTGTTGTAAAGAACTTCATAAATATTCATTTTATAAATTAGGGCAGATATAAACATGTGTTAGTTTCA